CATAAATGATGTAAATAACCAATGGGATAATTTTATGGACACATACTTAACACTGTTTGATCAATATTTTCCTGTAAAAAATTTTGTACTAAACGGAAAAAAAACGTTACCCTAGAAATTATAAATTACAAGAAACGGCTCAATTTTTTACTCACATTGAGTACAGCATAAACATGTACAAATAAAATGTACAGTCTTAAATATGACAAACGAGTAATTCACTCAGAAAATAAAACGAAATGTATGTAGGCCATCAGCAAAGAAAGTACAGGGAAATGCCCTCCCAAAAATGAAGTAGGTCTCGAGGAAAATGCCGGAAAAGTAGCCAATGAATATAATCAGCTCTTAATGTCGGTGATTCCAGAAATGTTTAAAAGCTTAAAATCGGAACCATATATCTGCAGTATTCCATACAACAACCAATCTCTTATACTAAATCCAGATGAGATACCCACAAGTATTATTAAAAAGTCGATTGTAGAAATTAAAAAAATATTAAGCTACTTAATTAATAATTCATTTCGAAATGATATTTTCCCAACTAAACTAAAATTAGCCTTAATTAAACTGTTATACAAAAAGGGCGACGTCGAAAAAATTGATAGCTATAGACCAATGAGAGTATTACCTACTTTATACAAAAAAATCGACATGGTTTTTTTAGACGTAAAATCGACGCAAACGGCTACATAGCAATATTTTTAAATCACTCTGAAAAAGGGGAAGCAGCGGTTGGAATTTTCTTTGACCTATCCAAGGTCTATGATTGCCTAGAGAGAGAGTGAGACTATTAAAAAAATTAAAGAGATATGGTGTAAGAGGTTCGGAACTAAAATGGATAAAGTCATGTCTAAATCAACATGCTCAAATTGTTAAAGTTTTTAATAAATAATAATAATAATAAATAATGCAGATGAAACGAATATGCTAACTGGCTAGAAGGGTCTGTATAAGCTATATAAACGGATCCGAATCGTTCCTTACTAGAATTATATGGTTCCTGGATAACAAATTAATTCTTAACACAGACAAAACAAATCCCGTATTCTTCAGAACCAAGTAGTCTGCAGTAGCAAACTCAGCGTAGGTAATAAAAACCTACGCATGTCGGAAAATACAAAATTTTTGGGCTTTGAGCTTTTTTGGATCGATCATCTGCTATGATATTAGGGCGGTTGGTAGGTATATAAACGAAAAAACACTAACGGTATTATATTTTGCTAACTTCGAATCAAGAATGAAATATGCAGAAAGAATAATCAGAGTAATTAGAAAATCGGAATATAATCAAACGTGCTGAAATGTGTTGAAACAAATGGGACATTTGACAATTCAGGTTTTATACATATTTGAATGTCTTATTATGTTCCTTCACAGAAAACATGTATTCCAACGCCTAAATACAGAAGGTTATAATACGAGATCGGAATATTACACCTATCCCTTGCATCGCTTGCAAATCACTTAAGAGTCCGGAGTATATGTGTATAAAACTGCTTCATAAACTACCTCTCAATGTTAGTCGAATTAATAATAGGAATGCGGGAAATTAAAAAACTCTTAATTGAACTTGAGCCACATAATTTAGAGAACTATATAAACATGTAAATAATAAATATGTAACATTAAGAATATAATGTAGTATTACGATTGTTCTAGCAATAAGTACCCCTAGTTGTAGCTGACCCACTGCGGGTCTTTGTCGTCATTTCATTTAACTTGGGTAACAATTTTTGGAATAAAAACTATCTATCTATGTATATCCTTTATTAGACTAATTTGTCTTAATTTGAATTTGAATATAAAACTTCCGCATGTTATAATATGCACACATGTACCTAATATACGTAGAGTAGCCAAATAAGCGTGCAAATTACTTCTATTTTCAGATTTACAAGGAACATCACCGCAATCTCAAATTAGCTTTATTCCAATATTTTGTGATTAACCCTTTTTTAACTTTTAAAATAGAGTTGTGGGGGCAATATCAATATGCCTTGCACCCGCATTTATTGTTATTTATTTGTTTTTCCATGTTTTACTTCCAAAAAATAATAGAAGCAGATTGAAAAGGTCTTAACACGATGACTTTCAAAAATAGCATAGCCATGATCGGAATAAAATTGCTGGTATAATGTTTCCAAATCAAAAATTTTCGTAAATAAAAAAGTTGTACGCAATTTGAAATATGCCTAAAATTGGAAAACGGAGGTAAAATATTTCTTAAAAACCGATCCCATGACATGTGAGAAAATTTTGCTCTGTCTACTTCCTGTGCAAAAATTCTGGCCCCTAACAAATAAGAATTTTACGAATAAACATAAAATAAGTTGGATTTAGTGATTAAATCTATTTTTTAATGCTAATACTAAATATTTTAAAACGGAGATACTCCAAAAAAAGTTATAGAGAAAAACAGCAAAATTTTATTTAGGTTTGAAATATCGCTTGGCTTCCTTAATAATAAATTAGCGTTTGATTTGGCAAATTCGGGATAATTTAGACATTAATAATAACCTGTATTTTAGTCACATTTTAGGTCAGGATAAAAATATTTAGATCCATCCGGGTTTCACAAAGTTGTTGTCGCGTGAGACAAAAAGGTCTTTTTCAACTTTTTGAATGTGTTCGTGCTGTATTTTAAAAATGTATCCAAGAACTCATGGTTGTAGAAAACATAGAATACAACAGACGTTAATAAACTTCTTGTCACCCCATTTATTAAACACTTCCGCTTATGTCAAATCAAATTTTTGATTAAAATGGCGTTTATCAACCTTATTTCATTAAGAGTGTTCCGAAAACATCACAGTAAGCATTGTAGTTCCAAAAGTTGTACTTTTTCGCGTTAATATGAAAAATAAATTTACTATTTTAATGCAACGAATTAAAGGTTATTTAATTATCTGAATCATAAGAAAAAAATCCATTTTAACTTTGGGCAGTTTTGGAATTGTTCCTGGTTTTCGGCATTTCATTGTTAAATGTCAAATAATTTTTCTTTTGTTTGTAAAAAATTTGCTCAATAAGAGTCGCTAGGTTTCTTGAAATATAATAACAATGAACAATGAACATGCCTTTAAAACACTATCGGAATTGTGGTTTTCACCTCCTGAGGTGCTAGTCCATAGGAGATCATGGTCCAGCCAAGCACAGAAAAATATAATCTGCAATAAAAATAAAAACCAATAAATAACTTAGTATATTTTACACCATTTGTAAATAAAATAAAAATATACTTATGCACTTACTTATAACAAAAACCATTCTCTTCCAACCTGGGATGTTTTCCACCAACATTTTTGTCATTTTCTTTCATCAGCATTTCTTTGTTCTTATTATTGGCCAGGGTCATCTATCACTTCCATGTCCTACATGTTTATAAAAATTACCTTGCACTTCTTTTTGCCGATTTAAAATTTTAGGTATGCTGGACACCTCTTCCTCTAGAAAAGAAGTTGCCAGAATGACGACATGTGTAGGTTTTAATAGGTTTATCTTTTGTAGAATAATTTGCTCTCTTCTCTATCTAGTATCAAACTCCATGTATTCTGTTGTAATATCAATATTATGTTCTATTTTAAAATGTATTAGAAGTTTTTCTTTTGGAGCTTGAAACTGACAAATAGAGTAACGATAAGCAGCAGGAGTAACTATTTCCTTGGAAGAACTACTGGGCAAAGTGTTGACAGAAGATAGGTGATATGTTTTTGGATGGTATGCAAAGTGTTTCAGTATATTAAAATTCTTATTACTCTGTTTACACTGATGTTTATATTGGTTTCTGGGAGCTATAATGTCAACTGAATCTAAAAACTGATTACTGTGCTTAAAGACAATACTTTTAGCTTTGGCTTTTCCTACCTGGATGAAACTTTTTTGCATGTTTTCTCAAATTTAAACGAGTTCTGACGGTTTGTTCGCAGTGAGAGCATTTAACGCTATCCATCTTCAATAAATCAAACACAAATAAAGCGAACACACTAGAAACTACAAAAATACAAAGAATTACAGTCAAAAGGGTCAAATGGGGAAATAAAATGGGTATCAAAAAATATCAAATCATAACAACGATCATAAACTTCAAAACAACCTCTATATAACAAACAAGTCTGCCCGCCAAAACTTTCGGTTAGTTTCGTTTCGGTTCGTTACAGACTGCCAATATCGGGAATGAATATATCGCGTTCTCCCCAACCGGTAGTAATTTTGACTTCTCAAATTTCCTTATTTATTTGAATCAGGATGGATGAATAAACACGCATGTATTCATTGGTTCCGATATTAACCACGGAATCTAATTCAATTCAACTATGCGTTTCACAATTTCTATTGAGCAACCGCGGAATCTTCTTCTTTCCAATACGTGGGCAAGTCAACTAAGGACGTTTACCCATAACCGACTTCCGTCGAGGATTTCTTTCTATTCGTTACAGACCAACACATTATAAAATATTAACAATATTTATTCTTTGACCGTTCAATGATCTTTAACCGATCAAAAAAACGGCTTTTTTCCCGCGGACCATCCGGCCTCCATACCGGAACGGGAAAAAACGATGGAGCCGACGACGACTATAACTCCAAAACACGCACTGAACACCAAAAACACCAAATCCACGCTGTGGAGATCGATTCCAATTTTTTTATGACGAATACAAGAGATTCTGTTGGGAGCGAACGGAGGTTAAACCGACATGTGTAATGCCACCGACAGAATCGAACCACGGCCAATTCTCTTTTGTGAGGAAAATTTACTCAAGGCATTCGCCCATTGCTATTGATATTTCCAGTTTAGTTTTTGATTACCTATGGTTAGTATATAGTAATCAAAGTTTAGAGAATGTAATATTTCGGTAAACTCTGTTCTACTTTTAGAATGTATGGTAAATATTGCCGAAACCCACGACCTAAAGTTGTCCCTTTGCGGCACAGAATTCAAAAGCATCATATCATTTCTTCTTTCTGTGACCTTCAGTGAACCCATGGACAATAGAAAATATTTCGAGTTCTGCTTCCATTGGACAACGTCGGTGGACAGCTGGCGCCTCTAGTGAGTTTTATTGAAACAATTCCTTTTGGGATTTGTTGACAGGAGTGAATGTTTCTAAAGGGAACTTAAAATTAAATCCGAGGTAATTCCAGCAATCCTGGGTTGTTTTTATTATTTACATATTTTAAATCCACCTTTAAACTATGATTTTTGGAATTTTGTGTGAAGTTTTGGGAAGGTTGTATAACTAAAAAAAACACGAAATTATGAGATTTGACAACTTATCTTAATATTTCTGCTAGTTTTTATGTTTGGGGGGAATATATACTTCAAAATTAGGTACCATTTAACAAGATTTTGTCCTCAGCAGTGAATGTAAAATAATTAAAATAATTTATTCCATAACCTGAATTATTTTCTTTACTTTCTCTCCATGATGTATTGTTATGTATTATGTTATTTCTAATTTCATTTTTGTGTTTTTAGCGATGGTGCGAATGAACGTACTGAGCGACGCTCTAAAATCGATAAACAATGCAGAGAAACGGGGAAAACGGCAAGTCCTTATTCGCCCTTGTTCAAAAGTTATAATTAAATTTTTAACTGTTATGATGAAGCATGGATACATTGGCGAATTTGAAATTGTTGATGACCATAGGAGTGGCAAAATAGTGGTAAATTTAACAGGTAGATTGAACAAGTGCGGTGTAATTTCCCCAAGGTTTGATGTACCAATAACACATATTGAAAAGTGGACAAATAATTTATTACCATCAAGACAATTTGGGTAAGTTATTATGTATGTTATATGTATTTGGTTAAATATCAATTTCAAGTTCTGTTGGTGATATGCTTGATGCATTTTTAACTGACTGGCAGGTTAGTTGGTTGCGGTGTTTTCATGACCAACCTACTATACCTAGAAAACAGAGACGAATTTTATACTCTTATATTATTAAAAAAAGGAAAATTGCGAATTTTATTTTTTTTTTCAATGATATATGATTAATCTTTGTTAACTGGAAATAATGAATTGAAATGTTAATCAAATCATCAAGTAAAAGCCACCTCAGTTACAATTTTTGAAATGTTAATTTTTGAAAGAATATTCCATAGGCTACTGTAATACTTTTTATAAAACTTCTGGATTCCTCCTGTGTCGGTTTTTGTTGAGTCGAAGTAGCTAACCTTGTGCCAGTCATCTTGGCATGGCTTCTTCAGAGCTTGACTGAACAGGATGATTGGTGAAACATTAGCTAGTTCGACTCAACAAAAACCGACACTGGAGGAATCCAGAAGTTTAATAAATTAAACACAATACTTAAATGTAATGGAAGCTGTAATTAAAGTAAAACACTATCAGTAGAAATACCCAATTATTCCAATTGTTTTATTGTGATCATTACTTTTTATGTTATGGGAAAAAAAATTTCCAATGTTTAAAAAATTGTTTAACTGAACGTCAACCTATTGTTACAGTGATTTTTTGTTTCAGATATGTAGTATTGACTACAAGTGGAGGTATAATGGACCACGAGGAAGCCAGGAGAAAACATCTAGGTGGAAAAATCTTGGGATTCTTCTTCTAATGTAACTCTAAGAAATAAAATCATATAATAGGAATAAATTGTTTTTTTATATTGTGTTTTTATTTGCCATGATTTATGGGCAACCTTTTATGTAACTGGAAGGTGAGGTTATTTCAAATTCAAACACAAACTACTATTACTACTTACTAATTAGTTTCCAATAAATGCCTTTTAAGTAATTAACAAAAAATAGCCAAAAAAGAACTTTATGTACAAAACACCAATACCAATAGTAATGTCATTCAAGGATGAAAACTGGGAATTTTATGAAAATATAGTAGATTCTTTTTTCAGAATATTATTATGTAGTCTAAACCTGTTATGCCACCGCTACAAATAAATATGTATATATTACATCAAGAATATCCATTCATTTACATTTGACTAATAAATATAATAATAAAATTATTGTAAGTAAAATAATTTAATCATATAACAAAATTGCTATCAGCTGTTAGAATTTGCCACTGAAAATCTGGTCCACCATGAATACTTTTATTTCTCATATACTTGGGGCGAAAAAAAGTGGAACAATATTCGCAGTAATGAGGAAAACGCATGTTCGTAAAGTACTCGATTTATTTTAAATCTTCAGCAGGTAATATTTTGGGGCATCATGATATTTTTATAATTAATACCAAGTCGTGATTCTGAGCCAAAAGTATAATATTTAATGGATGATTGAAGTTAGCATTAGACAACAATTATATGTGCGTAATAAGCAATATTGCAGGAATTACTGTCAATTCGTTAAACTCTACGTGCACATCATATTCTAACAACTGCAACGCCACGTGGTGGTCTTCTAGCCCATTTAAAATTTAGTATCCCACCTGGCCGTGTGATGGCGCCGTCCATTATAGAATTGGTCATTGGCCTGCGTACCTGGACCTTGTGAGCATGCGCAACAAACTTTTAACAACCGAAAACAAACATGCAGTTGAGAAACTTGCATATGCGACTTGTGCCGTTTGGTGTGCGGGGTAGCTTAAATGGCAAACGGCCGTGAAACGATCGAATAAGTGAAATTATTAATTGTTTCTGCAATATTTCGTACTGATAAAAAGTAAGCCGAAATTTGCCGATGCATTTGCATTAGTGATCAGCGCGATGTAAAACGAATCAAGTAGGCATCCACAGGTGTCTTGATAAAACTTTCAGACACCTTTTGCAACGTGCGTGTGGTGTATTTCGTTATTAAAAATGGATTTTTTCGAAGGATGTGTTTGCAATTTATTTCGTGTGGTGCATAGGTCATATTTTTGAAAGAACGTTTGAAAAGTTATATTGGAAAATGGTGCGGCGTGAAAGGGGGACACTTTGTAATGCAGAATGCAATCGACGATGGTTACAAGGGCATCTACCTTTGCGAGGATTAATAGTTTTGTTGGCAATCTGTTCACTGAAAACAACTATTGCAGGTAAGTCTTGTTGTACCTTTTTCCTTTGTACATTATTCTAGAGTTCCCAAATGTGATTCAACATATTTTAATAATGTTTGTGTTGAAAATGTACGGGATTTATATCTATCATGCCCTGTTAACGTAAGTATTAACTATTAAGCATTAACTTGAATGGGTATGCCGCCTGAATTGGAGGTAGGTATTAATTAGCTCTCCAAATGTTTTCTTAAATATCGAAACACACTGTTATCATTAATTTTTATTTTTCAATTTCATTACATCAACGAGAGGGTATTTGATTACTTTGAATATTTTTAGGCTTGTTGAAAAGTTTCGATTCTTGGGGTTGAAGATAGTAGTAGGTAGGGGAGTAGATAGGTAGGGTGTTTCAAAAAACAAAAAGAAAGGAAAAAAGTTTATATAAAATTAGGTCCTGGAATGTAATAGTAACAATTTTGGTAAATTACATGATTTTTATATTTGTGCTCGAAAGCGAGGTAAGATACGAAAACAGTGGAGCACATAACTCCCGCAACGGCACTGAACTTCACAATTTTTATTTGGTTAAAGCAGAATTAACCTTTTATCATCATAAATGAACAAAATCCTGCAAAAAAGTTTTTTGGATGACGAATCTCAAACCAATAATTATTGTAGGAATTCGATTCATCTGAGTTGTGGAGAACTAACAAAATTTGTTTTTCCAAATTTGGTATATGACCACGTAAGTTCCAGAAATATTTTCGCAATGACAACGTTAGAATTTAAAATCGAGTATCAAATGGAACATTCTTATAGTTTCAACCATTTTTTTGGTGAATAAAAAGTAATTAATTAAACAATGCACAGCAAATTTACATAGTTTACTAAATAATTTTGTTAATAGATTTTATGCAAGGGTAAGTCACGCGTGAAATCTGATGGTGTACCACAGCATCTTTGTTCTCTGTGAAATCAGTAAATTTTTTCCTTTTGAATGCTTTCTATTAGTTAAACCATATTTAAATAATAAAAAAATAATGTAAAAGAAATCCTATTTTGGCCATTAGGTGGAAACAACAAGAGTGCTAGCGAAGCATAAGTGAAAGATAAATAAAGCTTATTGGTGATATTATATATGAAAAAATAATGTTACTAGTTTTCTGTTAATAGGGAGGCTAAGTTTTTGTTCGGTTATTATTTGTTAGTAAAAGTCGGCAAAAAGCTTATTTTGTAATTATTAATGTAAATCGTCAAAATGAAATAAAATATTCGGGATAGAAGTAAATTTCGGAAAACATTATTTTTGAAGTGTCGTGCGCCCCTTGATAAGTGTGTGGTCTATGCCGGGTTCGACCTAGCAGAGGAATACAGGTTTATTTAAAAGAATTTATTTGTGCTTATGATTTCCGTAGACTCGATTTCTTGGAACACAGAACACCATTTTCCGCTGTAAATATCGAACAACTGTTCTGAGAAGATTAAACCTAGAATATTGTAATGCACCCAACACTCTTCATATATTCGTAATATTTATAACTAAATAGAATAGAAAGGAATAGAAATGTCTTTTGTGTTTTGAACTCGGCGAAGTGCAGCCACTATCTGGTTGTTTAACCGAGCATGTAAATTATACAGTACATTTCCATCACAATTAGTAAAAGGAAAAATGCAAGCTATGATTCTAATAAATAAATATATATTATATTCTAATAAACAAATATGTATTATATATTATTAATACTTGCACTATACTTCGTTTTATTTAACTAAGATCGGGAAGGAAACCAAATTTATATAAATATTTTCCCGAATTTTGACATATAGCCCAAATACTTTCGCGTATTTCCCTACATTTCCGCATATTTCTTTGCATTACCGAAATACTTTCCTCTTATTTCCCCGTATTTCCCTGTATTTCGCACGTATTTCTTTGTATTACCCAAATATTTCCCTCTATTACCCCGTATTTCACAATATTTCCTAGATATTTCCCGTATTTCTTTTTATGCAATATTTTAGATCTTAGGTTTTTAAATAAATTTTATGCGATTTGTAAAATATAGATGTACTGAGTACACCGAGTGAAAATTAAAAATACCATAACTAACCAAAACCATAAACGAAATAACGTAACAATAATAGATGATATATATATCTAATTTATTAATAAAAAATATTACTCGTATAAAAATACAGAAAATAAACCAAATTACGGCCGTTGTTTTCCTCAATTTAACCGAGATTTTCTTTTGGATGAAGATTTCGAAGTGGTGTATATCTTCTTTTTTTATATCACAACTTGAGAATCAAACCTTGAATCTATAGGGTAGGATTTTAATTTAAATGTCACTTTAAGACGTCAGCATCCTTCTTCTTTTTTCTTTACTTCGGACGTTTCCAGTACACACAAATTTTAGTCACCGATGTTATTTTGTGATTGTCAGTTCTGATAGTTTCCTCACGTACTGTTTTGCAGAAAATAGAAACTAATGGTGGTAGAAAAAGTATACTAATCATAAATATTTTCAGTCATTTTTACTATTCAGGAAAACCGTAATTAAGTACATTACACAAATCAAAAAATTCTTGTTTTTTAGTGAAACAACTTTTTGAGCAAAAATTGTTCTCCTCCTCTCAGAAGGACAGTTGCAAATCGACATTTTTCAACAAGACATTTCTTTTTAATTAGTTCTCATCTATGCGTAACGTTATTTTATTTGAAACTGTCATATTTTTGACATTTCTGTCATGGTTCAAAAAAGCTTATTAAACAGTAAGATAGGTAACCCTTTTTGATCGATCTGAAGCAGATTTGATAAAGCTGTAAAATTTGAAAAACAAATTTTCAAATGTCAATATTTTTAGAAGAACAATTCTCCAATTGAGCTGTCACCGTGCTGCTCTTTTCATAAAAGAGAAATCTTATAATTTGAAATTTTAGTTCGATTTTAAAATAAGAATATTGGTGCCAATTTGACATGGATCCGGTAAACCGAAACTTATTTTATTTAAAGTCGTGGACAATTTATTATTTATGAAAGAGATAATTGTTTAACTTGGATTTGAATTGCAAATTTTATTTTCTGTATCTCAAAATTATGAGAAAAAGCAATCAATAAGAGCCGTTTTAGGCCTTGGTATATTATGTTGGTTATTGTAACGGGTGTCTCAATAATGAGTTTTAGGAGTAACACGCTCAAGTAATTTGTGCAAAAAACGAGCTAAATACAATTTTTACTTCGTGTGGAAGCGCCTTAAGTCGAACCTGCTTTCAGAGAGAGCAAAATTGATATTATTAACTCTATTGTAACGTATTGAATTTCTTTTCGTTAACGATATCCAACGAGTTGAAATTAAATGTAAGATTAAATGCTTGGTCCCCGCAACCGTCTTCGCTATTCCGTCGTCTTACTCATAAATTAAACGCTTAATATCACATAATTGCGAGAGGAAATCGGCTCAGTTTAATTAATTTGTTAGCAGAGAAATTGCGCGAGTTATTCGGCAAATGATATAATTGGCCGGTGGGATTATTGGGGCAATGGCGTTTATATTGACTTTCCCGTTTCTACACGTCTGAAGTTTCCTTCTTCGTCGGGTGGTTACGGGACAAACTATAAGCAAATCTTACACGTTGACGTAACTGAAAATGTCTAAGAAAATTAAGGAAGTAATGTTTTCGAAAACAGTTTGGATTTCCCCGAAGGGTTTGCCGGCATCTCGAATGTAAACTGTCCGGTCAAAAGCTTCTTTCCTGTCTTTTCACCTCCTTCTGGAAGTCGAAACTTGGCCATGATGAAGTCTAGAAAGAAAAAGCATTAGATTTTTACGGGGGATTCTCGCTGATTATTTTTCTCAGAAAATGTAATTTTAAAATGAATGTCCTCGATATTTTTTTATGTTCATGTATCGGAGGTGCCTCAATTATCGGCAAGGCACCTATACCGGGGGAAACAAGAAAGTGGAAACATAAATATAGGCTGAATTTTCAATTTTTTGACAATATGTAGTCAATCAGATCATTCTATGTAGAATAGAATGATTTTTCTCATTTTTTTTTGTTTTTTTAAATTCTTGTTTACGTTTTGAAAATTGTGTCTATTAGGCTGTGACCATCATAAATACTATTCATCGGGTTACCTGACCATGGGAAAAATTGTAAAGGAAACTTTTCTTTACTTGTCTAACTTAGTTTTTTCAAATAGCACCCTAGTGGGAACAAAAACTTTTTAAAACCGGTACTTTTGCAACATTTTCACACCAAAATTTTCAAAATCCGTTAGAAAAAATAAGCGTACGGGAGGGAAAAAACCAGGTAACTAAATAAATTTTTATAAAAACAAAACCCTATTGAGGTGGCTTTGCTTCTATTAATTGTCAAGTTGCTAAGATTAAAAAAAAGTAAATTCAAGGGAGGGTTTCTTCTGAGATTCAAGGATTAGAATTTTTTTTATTATGGTAATTTTATTATGGTAAAAAGTTAATATGCTTCTGGAATACAGTCAAAAACTTACATAACGAAGTATACGTACGTCATAAGCTGCAAGCTCTTTTTCCCGGAAACTCAGAAGAACAAGAGATGGAAACATTTTTTCTCTTTTCAAATCTGTCACTTTTTGGGATAATTCAACGCAATATTTTGAAAATCTGTTAGAAAATAAAACCTCAACAATGTCTTTAGAATCGATTTGAAAGTGGTATGTCAACTTGTGTTACTGTAAGACAAGTTTTACATCGACACAAAACATCACATTCATTTATTTTGGAACTGGAGTTTTGAATTTATTTGAATTAAGTGAGTGCGATAGGTATTAGATAATAATTAATTTATTTTAAGACGAAACTTACATAGAATATGTATACGTACGAATTAAGTGAGTGCGATAGATATTAGTTAATAACTAATTTATTTTAAAATGAAATTTACATAGAATATGTATACGTATGTATAGAAATTGTATACGACACTCCCTGGTTCTAGAAATTACATTCGCCCTAACCCTTTCTAACATTTATTATTGTTTTCCATGATAATC